AAGGGGCTATACAATTGTAAATTGTTGCTGTTGTAGGCAATGTGAATTTTCCTTCCCCCACTGCTTCTCTTTGCTTCCCAATGGCATTGACAATGAACCACACAGTTTTTATCCACAGGGAATTTTCTAGTGTTAACAAGTATAACCATTCACCTGATTAGGGAAGTCAATAGGAGCCAAATTCCATGAAGTGGATAGGGAAGAAATCAAAAGGTAGACGATGCCTTCATCAATGGTATACAATATGGCTGTGCCAACTGAAACAAAACTGTCAGACAATGCTGGATATATATTGACATACCTCATCGTATTCAGGGTTGCTTTAAACTATGCTGCTGTGTTCAAGATGAAGGATGCAGAAGTACTGTGCAGTTAAGGTTACAGGATTTGCAGGCAAACTGATTTTCTTCACAATCGTGTTCAAACAGTGAAAAAGCAGCTGATTAAAAAGAAGCCGGCTTCATTATTCAGTTTCTATTCCCAAAATTGATACTGCAGTTAACAAGTAACAAACAAAAGGTAAATGTGTTGTGACTTGAAAGTAAATTTACTGTACATTTTGTGGTTGAAACGTGGCAGTCAATTGACACAGCAGTGTCCCACAACCAGTTGTAGATTGAATGACCAAATTATTATTATTATTTTATTTTGAAGGGATTACTACCCCCGGGAAGTGATCTGCCAATCGATTAACAACGGGTTCCTATTTACTGCTAGGTAAAACGGAAGCGTGTGGAGTAAGGAAACTTGCCTAAGGTTTCGCCCTGCCCGGGAATCGAACCCAGGTCCTCTCGCTTGCGAGGCGAGTGCTCTAACCAATACCCAATAGGACTCCACAGTTATAGTATTGTATGTTTTCTTTAGTCGCACTCATTCCATGTTAAATTTATAGTATAATCATTGTAATATAAATCATGGAAATTGTATCTCATTTTCTCAAATTAAAGTGCTTTTATTTTGTCACCCGCATTCAATGGCATATAAAAGACTGTGCCTGGGGTAACTGCAACAAGGACAGTGTCTTGTCTCACAGATTTGATTGCAGTGTTTGCTGAGATTTCAAGGACTGCGTGAGGTTATTAATGGGCGATTCACAGATTTCCCCCAATCCATGGCTGAACAAGCCTGATTCACCAAGAGAAGAATAGCTACACAATTCAAAGATGCTAATTGCTGAGAGATGCTCCGCAAAGGAAGATTTTTTTTCAACATAATGCTCACGTAATCAACCCCATAAAAAGGCAAAGGGCTGAGCATTCCCACTGGGTTTTTAACTTCATAACCTCCGCCCCTCAAATCAAGGATGTTCTCTGTGATTCAATGTCCGTGTGTAAGGGTTAATGTAGAGAGAAGGAAAGTGTCCCACAGGCAAAGGAAGTAACGGGCAAAATTCTGCTTCGATTTGGTTGTATGTTTTGATCTACTTGTTCTTGCATGCACCCTCGCACCCGCACTTATACACACATCATTTCTGTGAGAAAACAGACCATTGAATACATCTGTTCTCCGTTTTGCATAATTTATGCAGAAGCGAGAAGTGGGACTAATTTCCTACTCTGCTCGTTCCCCAGAATTGCCTTAGTTCACGCTCCGAGACTAATACATATTAATAATTTATCTCGGTGCAAGTCTAAATTTGTACCTCTGACACCCTGGCCCTGTAAAGATAAATATATATATTTGAAACTGGCCTGATCGCAATAAACTGAAGCAGGAATCATTATTGGCAGTTAGCAGCAAGACTTCCTGCTAAGGTGACAGAACTTATTCCAGATCATGTTATTTTCAGAGGCCCATAACACCAATGAGCTCATTTTTCAAACAAGCTTCACAAGATTCTACTGAAACATATTGTTTGGATCATACGAGTCCACAATTTTCCAATCTGAATTCCCACCGCTGCCACCACATTTGAAGTGTCGAGAAGATCTTAATGAAGAGGGCTTTTGATAGTTGTATCAAACGAAAGGCTCGAGTGGTATTGATAAACATTCTGCGCTCCGATTAAAATAATAATAAATAGTCCTTGCATTTGATACAGTGCCCAGGTAATTGCTGGCAAATTAGTGACTTTATCGTGCAGTAAGGTCCCACAAACAGTCAGGGAGCGAGTGATCAATGTATCTGGTGGACTGCTGCCAGGACAATGGGAGAAATTTCCTTCTCTTTTGCAGTATAATATGGTTTTTAAAATCCACCTGAGCGAGCACGCAGGACTTCAATTTAACACCTCATTCAACTACTTAGGATTTGGGGATTGGGTGTCACACCGGGCTAAAGGATTGATCTTTAACATTTAAAACCATTGTATTAATCCAGCCCAGACTGATGGGATAAAGGACTTCTTTCACTGGTGGCTCTTAGAGTCGTGCTTGAAATTAATTTGGACAGTGTCGAAATGGGGAAGAGTGGTGGAGACACAGATCCCACAAGAAGAAGACTATCCATAATTTAGCACAAATTGTTATTAAATTGACTCTTAGCTAAAGAAGCCATAAGGACGGTGTGTGCATGATATGAAAGTATTTATAATGTGGTAGGAGTCTTTCGGAGTCTTTGGCAATGAGGCTCTTTGTCTGGGCAGAGTCAAAGCAGGTTTACAGTACAGCTACGCTGGCTGCTGACACTGAGTACGGAAAGCAGAAAAATGTTCCATTCTTGCCGTGATATGCCTTGAAATCCAAAAGAAATGATAGTTTTACATTCTGATATTTCACATTACCCTCTAAAATTCAGTATACAAAGAATATTCACGTGGAGCTCATGATTACGGAATTTACTGTTCTCATGAGAAAGACTATCACAACCCACTCAAAGATCCAGCGCAAACATCTTTTGGTCTTCAGTGGTGAGATAGCCTCCATATTTGGTAACTCACAATTCATTGTATTCATCTGGGACAGACTCAATACATTGCTCGTTCTAATCCGAGAATATACCCAGCACAATAGACCTCTATTTTCATATAGAAGTTGCTGTCCAAATTTGAGATTTGGGGCGATATTGGACAGTTAACAATGCACAAAATTCAATGAAGATAATGATCAAACATGCTTGCAGGAAAAGTTGTAAGAGCAGAGGTAATGCAATAAAGTGTGATGAACCCATAAAAAGAGGACTCCAGACATGTTGAAGGATCAGTAGGGAATTAAGTGAAAGTTGAAAGCTTTTCACACGCTAAAATACTCTAAGTTTTCCATTCTTGCTAATCATGTAAATTTACAGTCAAGCCAACTGTGAAAATAGAGTGCGCTGGCATGCAAAATGATTAGAAAATATTGGTATTATATTGGTTTTGTTGTAAAATAACTTGGGAGTTAATCTAAGTCCTCCCATCGTGAAAGGCTCTCTATAAATGCAATTTTGTTGTTGTTGTTGTAAGTTACATAACAAGAAATATGTGCTTGGAGCAGAATTTTAAGAACATTAAAAGGCTTGAACTTCAAACGATTCCTATGTGTTCTCTTTGCAGAACGCAATGAAAAAGAGTTGAAATGACAAACTTATAGAGCAAAGTAATGGAAATAGATACAATGAAAACCCAACAAATTTACTGAAAACACGTCGGGAAAATCTATTCTAATTTAACACATCACTCCAGACAAGTGACATAAAACTCAATCTTATTCAGAAACGGTGCCGATAATTATGTGGAAGTTGGGAGGGGAGGAGGGAGGACACAATTATTAACAGTCGGACTCCAGTTCGAATTTATCAGCAGCGATAATTCTCATATCCCAGCCCACCTAACAATGTTCACCATGTATTTCTACCTGATGCCTTTTGTCAGGAGATAAGAGCAAACCACACTCTTGCTTTCAGCATTCAGACCATTTTCTGACTGAGCAGAACATTGAACTCTTGTGGATTCAAACGACCTCCAATAATGGCCCCTAACATGACTGCATTTATGGGGCAAGTGAGGTAAGCTGACTGCTACTCGCCTCCACCACTTTCAACCGAGAGACAGGAATAACACTGATTTGAATGAAGTTCTTTTCTACAAGCATGTAGCTGCTTTCCAATACCTACGTTTTTTATCGCAGCAATGAGGAATAGCGGTACAAATGTGAGGAATTATTCATAGCATTCACCGAGTCTCCCACAGCTGTTACCGCTGCAAGTTCATCCAGAGCAGCTGACAGTGTGAATGCTATACTATTTCCATGTAGTCACTGTTTATTTTAAGCCCATATGCTCCATCTTTACACAGCACGGACCATTTCCTTTCGTCGAAGTGGATCAGAAGGATTTGGGAGCTGAATGATTTGGTTTTGCTGATCAACTGACTATGAAGAACTGCTGTTTATCCTCCAAATTCCTTGTAGCCAACCTTATGATTAATAACTGATTCTGTTGTGTTGCGTTCAGCAGGAGAAGAGTTTGCAGTTGATGTTATTTTGGTTAACAAAATGACTTCAATGAATAATTGTAAATCATGGAGTTGCATTGAACTATATCACCTTGCAATTAGTGGCATGGCCTGTGCTGAGTCACCTGATCTCACTCAGGCACGGTAATGGAACTGGCTTCAGTGTGTCTGACACATGCGGAAATCCATCACCACGCTTAAGAGTATCTAGACCAAACTGAAATACGAGAGCTAGATTGTTTGATTTCCAAACAACAGCGCCTTACTGAAAATGAGCTTCTGTAGACATTTGTCGATGACAGGATCCTCCTCAGCTGTGGTATCACAGTCGAGCAGTCCACCAACGTTCAAATATCTGGGTTTTACACGTGAGGAACAGACAAGTAGAAGAAATGCGTATGTGTTGACAGCCTCCCATTGTGTCACACCAACACAGAGCCATTCGGGAAAAGAGGAATAGGAAGAAAGAATAAATGAGCTGATAAGTTAATTAACAAACACATATTAAGTATAAAATTCTGACTCCTGAAATCGTAAATGATATAATAAACCAATCTGGTTCATAATAAATGTAGGATTGTAGTATATTTCACTTGGAAAACTTTAAGCTTAGTGATGATATACTTACAGTCTTCTCCTGAATATCCTGTTGCTATCTTTGGCTCAGGTCCTGGTCCTAAATCGTTCAACGCTTGGACTTTGATGTCGTAAGGGACGAATGTTGGGGTATTATCAACAATATGGTGATGTTTATTGACTGTACTATGATTCCAAGGATTCTCAGCTTCTTTCTGTCTCCAACTAACTTGGTACTTTAGTCCAGGGCCGTTCCAATCAATGGGCTTCAAAGGCTGCAAAAAAAATTCAGAAACCATGCAAGTCAAAATGGATTCAGGGACAACAGGCGCACTTTATGCATCAATATAAATACAATCCACTTTGAAGGCAAATTAGTTCCAATGTAGTGCTGCCTGCAGGGCAAACATCAAAAAAAATATTTAAAATTGTAACGTCGATGTTAATATAGGAGGAATCACAATAAGTATGACTAGACTGCAATTAATGAGGTGCAGACCGCAATTTCTTAGAGGAAGGAAGAGTGAGAAAGAACATGTATTAAAGCGGATAGCAGGTGACTCTTCTGACTGATAGAGATCCAAAACAATTTTCAAATTAGAGCTAAACCGGTTGGAAGTCAAATAGTAAAACATTTCTTCATGCAGATGTGAAAAAGCACTGCTCCAGAAGGCAGTTCAGGCAGAATCAATTGGGATGCCAAAAAGGGAGATAGCTGTATAGAAAGTAAAGGCGTTGAAAGAATTGGGGAAAAGGCAAGGAAACAGAATCAAAAGATCTGCCATTTTCTCATAACATGGCAGAACAAACTCGATGAGCTGAATGGCCTCCTGGTCTTCCTATGCTCACAAGATCGGTCTGCGTGAAGAAGGAAGGCCCTTTGACCCATTTGATCTCATCCTTCCAGAAGAGGAATGGATCTGTATCTGAATGGATCCAGATCTGTATGGTATGGCTAAGTTCTATAGTGGGCAGCGCTCACCTGGCAAAGGTAATGCTCACATTTAAACATTATTAAAACAATTGTAAACACCTGGATCTAAAAGAAATCTGTAATACTTGCCAGGAAACAAGCAATTATTTTTGTCTGTTGTGATTTTAAACCCAACTTCAAATGGTTTAAAGCTTTTACATGCCCTTACCATTTCAACACATTTCAATCCTCCCAAAACAGTAATGGCTGTTAAGCCACCTCCTCTCATCTTCATCCTTTGATTTGTTTCCCATTTCTCTCATTCTCCGCAGAGTAGGCAAATACATTTTCATTTCTGCTAACTACATTTCAGTTACGATTTCACAGATAAATTCCATCAAGCACACAATAATGGGCACCAAAAACCCTAGTTTCATCAAAAGCCTGTACAATATTGTCCTCATGAGAACCGCCTTTTATGCTGAACAAAGACCTGGGGCATTTTCTAACCCTATTTATCATTTCTGTGTGTTTCCCACTCCATCTGTCTATGCTTCTTGGATCAGCGTAAGGAAAAAGGCCAGACTGTTTAGATCTGGTGGGACATTGGAAATTTATACATCGTGTTTTGGAATAAACTTCTGCTTTGAGGACACAATGCCACAGAGGTTTACCCTCTTCTTGTTCGGAACTTCTGTTTGCTACAAATAAAACAGCAGCTTCCCATACAATGTATGCCTTATTTGAATTGAATGAAGATGGGGAGAATGTGAATCAATCAAATGAGTGGGTCAAAAATCGCCATCAGTTACAATGAGCTTTTTACCAGCACAACTGCAGGAATGGTACCAACTCCAGTTAAAAAGAAATGGATTTCGTTGAAACAAAAACCAAACACTAAACTGCACTGATTACCTTTAATAATTAACCGCATGCATTTGCCACTGAAGGAATAATTAATGCCAAAGTTGCTTTCATTAATTTAGCCTCATGTAGAAATATACAGCTCAGAACCAGGCCATTTGGCCCACTGAGCTCTTAGAGCAAGCAATGCTATCAATGCATTTCCGTCGAAATAAACTATTGATAAACATAGTAGAGTTCTTAGTTACAATTAGCTTTTTACTCACAATACTGTATATGCTCTGCTGTCTCCATACATAGATATTTTAAATATCATTTCCAGCTTATGAAATATGATGATGCTTAGACTGTATCACTGTCATAAACTTATTTTTCCTAAATATTGATTTTGTTTAGTTTAGCTGGTCTCGTAACCGGAAATTCCAAACCATGGGATGGGAAATCCTCTAACAGCCATGATTTTAGTCTGGTTATCATCTGGCCTTGTTGCCCACTTTCATTATCGGTGTGATAATTATCACCAGGGATAATTAGCACATCGTTTGCATCACAAGTTTCTCAATGTGGTTTTAAGGGAGTTCAAGTGCTGCGTTAGATCTCAAGGAGCGGAGAAGCAAACACATAGAGGTAAAAATCCCATTCAGCATTGCATTCATCATAATAATCCTTGCGTTTAATATAGCACCTTATCACATTGTCGAGACGTCTCAAAGCGCTTCACAGAATATACTGTAAAGTGAATTGACTGAATGTGTGGGCAAAATCAAAATGTGCCTTTGCCGATATTGGCTTTCATTAGGATTTCCAATTGTAGTCGCACATCAACAAAGGTATTACGTCTAACCCAGAATATCAATGGTTGATATCTAATGACATGAAAAATGCATTGAAGTATTATTATGCAATACTTCTTTCTGCTTGCTGCCGAAATTCAAAAAACAGTGAGGAGTACACAACTCCTTGTTACAGGTTTCCTGACAAGAAATCATTTTATTGACAAAGTGCATTGTCGCAGAACCAGAAGAGGTATTCATCCTCAATGACCAGAATATTTTGAAGATGCTTTAACATGTCAAAAATGTGCTACTGCTTGTTAGAAACTCCACTGTATTAGGAAAATCCCCGATAAAAGTGTTTGTTTAATCCATATAAATGATGATTTCTTTGCAAGCTACTGTGGCACAATACTCGTTTTGATTTCCGCTTTTGCAGAATGCGTTTAAATTCTTTGTTCATTCAATGCAATCTCATGAATGTTACGCTTCCTGTGAGGAGAGAACTGGAAAGTGGGATTCATTTTAAAAAAAGGAACTATAAACAGTAATGTGACATTCACTAATAGGCCAAATGGCTTCCTTCTGTACTGAATACTTTAGTTTCAAAATAATGCTTCCAAAAAGCGTACACCACTGGTGACACTCCATTGCGTATCGCTGAGGACGGTCATTCCCAAACAACACTGAAGCTTTAGTAAAATAGAGCAAAGAGGATAATACAAAATTGATTTAGGAGAAGAGACTTGCCGAGCTGCAGTAGCAGTTACTGGATGAATTAAAAGCCCTTAATGGGACAATATTAGTATTATTATTATAGGTTTAGTACTCTATGTGGTGAGAGTGGAACTGCAGTATTGTGTAAAGTGGTGCCTGCAGCAGAGTGTTTTAAGGCAGCAGCCCGGCATTTCACTGCTAGTTCTCTACATTCCTTCAACTGAGCATCGGTTCTTGCCGGTTGGAGCACCTAAATTGCCGGTTAATATTTAATGTTACAAAAGGGCCAGCAGGACCCTCAGCTGAGCAATGACATTAAAAATGTAAAGCTTCTTATAAATAAGAGTCCAGACAAAGGAGGATAATATAACATTTAAAAGCAATAGCTTTTCATCGGAGAGACACTTTTGCCAACCTGTGCAACTGCGTTCAAAGCCCCAACACCATAAAATTAAAGGGAAATAAAAAAAGTGTCACCTCATACATTCAATTCATTAATAACCAGAACAGTTTCAGGCAGCGGTAGACCATTTGTCCATCTAGGCCACTGCATTATTTAATAGTTTTCTCCATAACTTAATAGGTAACTTGCTTTAACAGACTTCAAACTGAAACTATTATGTGAAGGAACATTTTGCATTGATCACCACAAACTGTGTTCCATCACACAGTGTGTTGTCCTGGCTGAAATTCCTACCATTCTATAAATAATCTCGCTTACATTTCTGTTTCCCAGAGAAAAAAAGCATTTTCTTTTTCAAGTTATTGCAACAGTAATGTAAATTACTGGAATGTTGTATTGATCTATAGATCTGTCCAGCTCTGCTTTACAATAAACGGTAGCCCAGCATCAACCAGCAAACAACATGGTTCTACATCACAAGCCAAGCATCATTAAATGCATTGCGTCCCATTGTGATATTGCAGCTGTTGCAATCTTCAGGAGACTGCTACTGCACACGTCCACAAATTTCACAGCCACGGCAGACTCTGCAATGCTGTACCCAACTGCCTTTGTACTATTTCTCTGCTCCCATTCTTTGTTCTTTCCACATCCCCTTGAAAAAAATGTATCCTTGGGTTATTTGTCCAATATAATTTTAAATGCTGGTTTCCCATCTCCCTCATCAAGAGCACATAAAAAATCCCATGGCACTAGTCTGCAAAGGAAGGACTTTCCCACAGTGTCCCGGCTCACAATCCTCCAGACAAAATTGGTCATTCACGTCATGGCTTTTTGTTGGGCATTGCGACAATGAAAGAAAACTGAGAAGGTTTTTTTAAACGGGTATGGTAACTTGGTTTATTTCTGACTATTGGAGTTCTGATGATGCATCCTTACACCAGGCTGAGATTAATCCCAGAGACATGACACGAGTCATGGCAAAGTCCCGAATTTGTGACTGCCACCCAATTTTGTACTCGGACCCGGATCAGAGATTGACAGGGACTTCTATGTTATGCAACCTTGCCATTACAGTGTTAAAACTAAAAATTGGGTCAAGTTCTTCAATTCAGCATCAACATGGAAAACCGACTGTTTTAAGAACTGCGCACAACTTGCTTCCAAATTAAGGCTGAATTCAAGAAATGTTCACAATTCTGCGTGATCTTACGTTTCAAAATAAAATAGTCTAATAGCTTTATAGGGTTTAAAAAATCTACTTTAGATTGCGGGTGTTTTGTATATTTGAATGATTTGGGGTTAATAAAGCTATTTCTGATGCTTAAGTAGTAATGTTCATGGTGGTGGTGGGGGGTGGGGGGTGGGGGGGTGTGGTCAACACGCTAACGAAAATATACAAAAAGACGGATAGTTCTGTCGACCAGCTGGCCCAACGGGAGTTAATATCTGCTGGAAATATATTTTGTTTTAGCTGTGTTCATTAATTCACAACAATGCGTGACAATGAACCCAGAGAAAGAAAGAGAGAGAAAGCATTTTGCTTATTAGCCAGTAAACAATGCATCTCTATTTTTGCACTTTACAACTTAGAAAGCAAACCCG